CTGCTCCCGCCTTCCTGCCTGTCCCCTCTGGCCCACTCCAGCGCCTTATCTGGCCCTCCCTGCACAATTGCCGGGAGCCCATTCCCATGACAACGGGGCAGATGGCGGCTGCGATTAGCTGCTCCCCTCCTGCCGCAGCTCGATCCGTCTTTGAAATTAAATCAGCTGTGATAACATCGCCTGCCACCCACCGCCTGCCCAGGCGTGCAGGGCCAGGACGGGCCAGGGCCGCTCCCAGGCCCAGGCCCCTCTGAGCCTCAGTTTCCCCATCTGTGAAGTGGGGGCGAACAGCCAGGCTCTTTCCTGGGCTCAGCAGAGGCCCGAGTGCAGTGCAGTGCTGGTGCTCGGGCCACCAGAAGCTGAGCCCTGGAGGGACACCTGGCCACAAGGCCCGGAGCTGCAGGCGTCCCCGCCCGCCCTGAGGCCCCTGCCCCAGCTCCCTGCCCTGACTTGTGAAGTGCCTGGTGTCCAGAGCACACACCCAGTGCCATGCCGACCAGCCCCTCTCCGCAGTCTCCCTTTGGACTCTTGCAGACGTGAGACCCAAGGAGCGGAGGGTGGAGCTGGGGGCACCCGGGTCTGAGGCCTCTCCAGGAAGTGAGACCAGACAGACGGGCAGGACTTGGCTGGGTGGGCCGGAGGTGGGGGCCTCCGGCATGGGACCTGCAGGGGAGGGACTGAGTGCGGGGCTGGGGAGCACAGGAGTATGGGGAGACAAGTCGAGAGGTAAAGAGCGAGGCTGAACTGCGGAGACTCGACCGAGGAGAGGCAGAGGGTGCAGCCAGGCTGAGGCCCGAGGAGGAGGCCGGCAGGCTGGAGAAGAGCAATGGCTGCTGGGCTTGTGGGCCACCCTGAGGGCTGCTGGGATGGAGGTGGTGGGTGAGGAAAGGGCGCAGCCCGTGAGGTGTGCAGGGGTGAGGCCTCTCGCTGTAGCCCCAGGTCTCCCCTCCTCACGTGAGGTACAGTAAGCTACCCCCCACGACCCCTCCGTGCCCAGGGTCCAGCCCCAGCCAGGGGTGGGGGCCCTGAGGTAGACCCGGGACTCCCGAGGGCCCCCACAGCCCCGCGCAGGACATGCCTCCCTGCCAAGCCTCCCCGGGCGCGCACACATGCACACCCACCTGGACCACTGCAGCAGTCACTACAACAGTGGGGTCCTCTGGGGTGAATCTCACAGGCCGAGAGCAGAGGGGAAGCGCGGCCCGGCCCTGGGAGTAGCGCGATGTGGACATGGAGGGTCCTGAGGGCAGGCCGGACGAGGGTGGGAGGCGCAGCCCCGGGGGCTGTCAGGACTCGCCCTGGCAGGCCAGGTGGCACGGGCTCTGGAGCAGCTGGGCCTGTGGCCTTCAGCTTCCACAGCGGTGACACGGCCGAGGTCCTTGGGTGCCGGGCAGCTGAGCACAGGCTGTGCACCCCCATGCTCAGCCACACGGGAGCCAGGCAGGTGATGTCGTGGGCCTGCTTCAGAAGAGGTGGCCTGGCTCCCGGCGCAGGGCCGGGCAAAGGAAGAGCCGGGCCTGAGCTCCAGGCTTCGGGACACCAGTGCCGTGAGAACACCGGGCTTCCGCGGTGCCCTGGGGCTGCTGGCCTGCCCGGATCTACGGCGGCTGCCTAGGCCAAGCAGGACCCTGGATGTGGCCATGCTGGCCAGTAATGGGTGACATTAGCAAGTCGGCAGGGACCGAGGTCGGGTGGTTAATGCTGTCCTGGGGCTTTGAGGAAGGTATTCCCACAGCAGGGCTGGGCGCTGGGGCTGAGCTCCCATGTGCCATAGGTAATGTGGCTAGGGGCCTCCAGATGCCGCCTCTCCCAGAGTTCTCAGAGGCAGATCCCAGGGAGCCATGCAGCCAGGTGCCCGCTTAGCCTCTTGGCCAGAACACACGCAGCACCCTAGGGCTTTGCCAGCCAGGGATCCCGGGAGTCCCGTCTTCCTGCGAGAGGCCTTCGACGGCTCCCTTGGAAAGAAGCACCCAGGCCACCTCCAGCTCCAGGCCGAGACTCAGCAAGCTCGGCGTCTGGGGTGGGGGCTCTTCCCCGGGGCTCCCTTTTATTGCTCAAGCACCCCCAGGCTGGGCCCCTCTGTGAGCGCCAAGCACAGCCTGAGCCCCAGCTCCTCCTTAAAGCACGTGCTGGCACCTCCCGGCACTGGGCCCGGGCACGGAAGTGACGGTCCTCGCCTTGTCCCGGCCCCGCCCCGGGTGCCCTCGCCGCCCTCCCGCAGCCTAGGGCCTCCAACCCCAGTCACCCTTTCTCCTCCAGGCCCGACGGGACCAGGAACTGCCAGCACGCCATCCCTTCCACAGACACTCGCCCACTGTCCGCGTCCGCTCGGGGAAACCCTGGCCGCTGAGCTGCTGGGCAACGTGCGAGTCTACCCCGCTTCCGCTGTGTGACGTGGGGTGGGAGAGCCGCGGGCACCCACGGAGCGTGAGCCCTCCCAACGCTCTGCTCTGGGGCCTTGGCACCCGCCACTCCCTCTGCAGGACAGGGCGCGCTCTCTCCACCCCTGCCAGATGCCACCTCCCAGGCCCTCCTGGCTGGCACTGCCCGCCAGCGCCTCAGAGCCATGCTGTGCCACGCCCCGTGGTCTCCCGGCCTCGCCTGAGGGGCTCCTCCGCCTCCTGCAACTGTGTCCTGGCCGTGCCGGCGGCACAGGTGCTCCGGGGCTCCCTAGCGGCTTTGGATCTGAAGTGCTGACGCAGCCGGCTGCAGAGTGTCTCAACATCACGTGGCTCACTGCAGTTTGACCCCCCAGCCCTGATGGCCTGAAAAACGTGCCACATGCGACAAGGTGGCCATGCAGAGGGAGAGAGCTCACTCGCTCCCTGGAACACTCGCGTGATCTCTGGCAATACTAAATAAACCAACAAATATGTGTTTCTGAAAGAGTGGCACTCCCTAGGCCTCAGGGCGTGGGCGTGCAGCCCCTTCCCGCCTCTCACTGGCCCCCTCCCAGACCCTGGGGGGGTCGGGCACTCAACCCGGAAGAAGCTTGGGCCCCCAAAGCTGGGAACTGCCCCCACACCTCTGCGGGGCCCAGGCCTGAAGGTGACAGGCCTCCAGGGAGGATGCATTTGCAAAGCCCCCCAGCAGTGAGGCGGGGTGGAAGGCGGGTGGGGTGGGAGCTGGCCTCAGGGCTGCAGGAGGTGCCCGCGCAGAGCAGAGGTGCCCGCGCAGAGCAGAGGTGCCCGCGCAGAGCAGAGGTGCCCATGGGGAAGGACCAGTGCCGGGGCGGCTGGCCACGCAGAATCAGCGCAGCGGGCTGAGCAGGGACCAGAAGGCTGGGGACAGTGTGGCTGGTGGTGGCCTGAGGCCAGGGCTATGTCCCGGCCCGGCTAAGACAGGGTGATGGCGCAGCATCTGTGGCCCGGACGGGAGACCGCCTCTGGGAGGGGGGGGGGCCCGGGGGCG